CAGAAAAAGTAATTAAAACCCTGACAGATTAAGTAGTTCAACATCATCATACAAAATAAAAGTTACAGGTGGCAAGTCATCTCTCCTGCTTCCTACTCTAGCATGTATTAGTGTATTTGAACTCAAACCTTCTAATATTTTCAAAATACCTAAACCACCTCTTGTTTTTCTTTATTCAGCTTTCTACCCTGCTCCATATTCTCTCCTCCCCCTTAAATTTGGATGAAGTACTACATTGAGGATTGTGGGATCTAGAATCCTAAATGGCTACCAAAAAGCTAAGTGATAAAACTTAAAGTTGCAATATGGAATTTGATTAATGGGAAATGGGACAAATGAGGAGAGATTTATAAATTCTCCCTTCTGGAGAGTATTCTGAGATTTCATTCTTTCTTGCAACCTTTTTGAGAGATGTCATATGCTATGTGCAAGGTGCTATTGAATAAATCATTGTGTTTCTTTTCCTAGGAAGTAATACATACTTTTTCTTCAGTACAACATTTTTTTTTTCTCAATCTCATTGCCCTAGAATTGTACCTCCCAACTAAACTATTAGAATATTTATTATCACCTTAATCTCATATGTGGAGAATTTAGAGTTAGATAATTGGGAGTGAAACAGTTTAGAAAACAAAACCTCAAAATGAGATATTATATTTGAATTTCTCATCTATGTGAAAGCTGTAGGGACCCTATTGCTTTTGGTAAGTGGGATGGGAGTTACTTCGGCATTTAGTGGCATTACAATTACTTAAATTTCCATCAAGTGGCCCAAATGATTATGTACCCTACCTTTTTACCAATACCAACTCCCCTTCAAATCACATATCTTCATGGGAAGTTACTTACACCAACTGAGATTGCAGGAAATAACACAGTCCTGGTTAACACATTAATATGCATCATATTTTGGCTGAATCTGAAAGAGACTATTGCCAAATAACCTTATCCTTCAGCCATCGTCCAGGACAGTGTTGAAAGGAAATCTTCTCAGTGGTCTGCCTATGATCAGAATAATTTGTAATTTACTTTGAAGGAATGTGGCCCCGGCGCGGTGGCTCATGCCTGCAATCCTAGCACTCTGGGAGGCTGAGGTGGGTGGATCATTTGAGCTCAGGAGTTTGAGACCAGCCTGAGCAAGAGCGAGACCCCGTCTCTACTAAAAACGAGAGAGAAATTAGCTGGACAACTAAAAATATATAGAAAAAAATTAGCCGGACATGGTGGCGCATGCCTGTAGTCCCAGCTACTCAGGAGGCTGAGGCAGGAGGATTTCTTGAGCCCAGGAGTTTGAGGTTGCTGTGAGCTAGGCTGACACCACGGCACTCTAGCCCACTTTAGAGCAAGACTCTGTCTCAAAAAAAAAAAAAGAATGCTCTTCAACTCCACAAGGTTCTGTTTCTGCAATGAGGCAACAGGCCTCAAACACCTCACCCACTGCTGCCTACTCTCTCTTTGCATCACTCTTCAGGGCTCTTTCAACCAATTGCCAAGTTCTGTTACCTCCAAATCTTGTTTTCCCTCCTATTCCTATTGCCACTTCACTTATTCAAGCTTCTGTTCTGCTTTGACTAGGTAGATTATGCACTGGCCTCCTAAACTGGATTCCGTGGTTCTGGCTTTTCCCCATGATTATTCACAGCTGCTTGATTAATAACCCTAAAACAAAGAATTGATGTTTCCTGGTCACATACTTTAACTCTAACTTTCCTACACTATAGGTTTTGTCAGCCTGGCATCTAAAGTTCTCCATGTTTGGGCTCTACTCTAAACTACCTTTTTTGATCTTTTACCCTTACTATTTTTTGCAAACATATCTTTCAGCCAAATTGAATTCATCATTGTTTCTTGTACTTACCAAATGCATTCTTTTGCTTAAGCTGTTCCTTCTGCCTAGATTCTAGAAGGCCAGTTCAGCATGTCCAAATCTTATTTTAATATCCAGCTCTTGCTTTCCTTTCAAATAAGCATTTTTTCCTTTTCCTGAACAATTGGAACAATAATCAATTTCTTATGGCACTTACCATTTCTTGGCATGTATTGCAGTGTGTGGATCACCTTGACAGTGAGAACCTTTAGCATAGGTTCCTCCTCCATTTTATTTTTATATCCCCAGCAGTTCCTTTCACACAGTGCTTTGTGCAGGTTAGGCACAGATGGAAATACTTCCTGAGTGCATGCATGAATAATGAATTTAGGAAAAGCATATTGGCTAGAATAATTCAATTGCTAGTTTTTCTTTAGAGATCTTGGGGTTCTGAGTTCAAATCCAACAAAGACTTGTTTTTCTCAGGGTTTTTCAGTTTCTCTGCAAAGGACACCAGAATTCTTCCCTAAAGAGTTGCACATTATAACCCAACTACATAAAAAAAGTAGTCATAAAAAGGTATTATTATATGCTCTATTAACATAAACAGAATACCTAGGTCCAAAGAGGTAGTTCTACTATACTGAGTTGCCCAGGGCAATGATTGTCACATTTTAAGATAGACATTGATGTAGGCATAGATTCTCAGAAGGGAACTAGATTAGAGATCTGTAAATACTCATCTATCCATCCATCCGAAATATTTTTAAAAGCATGTACTACGTTCAGGTGCTGCACACAAAACTAAGTCATTGACTGCCCTCAGAGGGCTTACATTCTAATGGGGGGTGGGTGGGTACGGACACACCAACAAATATTGCACATGGTATACATGGAGAAATGGACAAATACTGTATGCAATATACAACAGAGAAAAATAAGGCAGGGAAAGTTACCCAACTTACCCAACTGCAGAGTGGTGAGGACCTGCCATTTTAGAGGGAGTTCAGGGGAACATTTCCTTGAAGTGATATTTAAGACTGAAGGATGGTAGCAAGACATCTGGCAAGTTTCCGTGTGGAGGAAACAGTTAAGTGCAAAAGCCCTGGGATGGGAGTAAGTTTAGTGTTTTGAAGAATAGCAAGGATGAACACAGATATGGGTGGCAGAGTGTAAGGAAGTGGGGAATGCAGATCACATAGACCCTTGCAGGCTAATGTAAGGACTTCAGCCTTTTCTCTGATGTTGAAAGCCATTGGACAATTTTGGCAACAGAGCAGATACCAGGGAGCCAATTAGTAGGCTATTACGATTCAAGTGAAAAAATATATGTATAATGGTGGCTTTTGCCAGGGTGATAGCAGATGAGAAATGGTTGGACTCCGAACATGTTTTAAAGGTAAAACTTATCTTTAATTTCTAATTTTTAGGGATACATCTGTTTTACATATTATTTATAGGATACATGTGAAATTTTGATACAATGTGTAATGACCAGGATAACTGAAATATCCATCACCTCAAGTATTTATCATTTGTTACAAACATTCCAATTCTTCTAGCTCTATTGAACTGTATAACAAATTATTAACTGTAGTCACCCTATTGTGCTGAGCATTAGATCTTATTCCTTCTACCTGTATTTTTGGACCCATTAACCAACGTCTCTTTATAAACTCTCCTTCCCCATTACCCTTCCCAGCCTCTGGTAACCTCATTCTACTATCTCCATGAGTTCAATTTTTTTACCTCCCACATGACAGTATATATTTGTCCTTCTGTGCCTGGCTTATTTCACTTTACATAACGTGCTCCCATTCCATCTATATTGTTGCAAATGACAGGATTTCATTTTTTGATGGCCGAATATTCCATTGTGTACATGTACCGCATTTTTCTTATCTATTCATCTGTTGATGGACACTTAGGTTCATTCCCTATCTTGGCTATCATCAATAGTGCTGCAATAAACTTGAGAGTGCAGGTGTCTTTTCGATGTACTAATGTTCCCTTCTTTTGGATAAATACGCAGCAGTGAGACTGCCGGATCATGATAGCTGTATTTTTAGTTGAGAAACCTCCATACTGTTCTCACAGTTGCTATACTAATTCACATTCCCAATAGTGTGGGACAGTTCCCCTTTCTCCACATCCTCACTGGCATCAATTACCTGTCTTTGGATAAAAGCCATTTAAACTGGGGTGAGATGTCTCATTGTAGTTTTGATTTGTATTTCCCTGATGATTAGTGATGTTGAGCATTTTTTTTTTCCATATACCATTTTGCCATTTATATGTCTTCTTTTGAGAAAGGTCTAGTCAGATCTTTTGCCCATTTTTAAACTGCTATTGAGTTCTTTTTATATTCTGGTTATTAATCCCTCGTCAGATGGGTAATTTGCAAATATTTTCTCCCATTCTGTGGGCTTTTTACTTTTCTGTGCAGAAAGCTTTTTAGTGTGATGTGATTCCATTTGTCCATTTTTGCTTTGGTTGCCTGTGCCTTTCAGGTCTGAGTCAAGAAACCTTTGCCCAGACCTATGTCCTGGAGTGTTTCCCCAGTTTTCTTCTAGTAGTTTCATAGCTCTAGGTCTTATATTTAAGTCTTTAATCCATTTTGATTTTTGTATGTGGTGAGAGAGGGGGTCTAATTTCATTATTCAGTATAGGATTACCCAGTTTTCCCAGCACTATTTATCGAAGAACCTATCCTTTCTCCAATGTATGCTCTTGGTGCCTTTGTCAAAAATAAGTTGACTGTAAACGTGTGGATTTATTTCTGGGTTCTCTATTCTGTTCCATTCGTCTATGGGTCTGTTTTTATGCCAATACCATGCTGTTTTCATTATTACAGCTTTGTAGTATAATTTAAAAGTCAAGTAGTGTGATGCCTCCAGCTTTGTTCCTTTTTCTCAGGATTGCTTTGGCTATTCCAGGTCTTTTGTGGTTCCATATACATTTTAGGATTATTTTTTGCTATTTCTGTGAAGAATGTCATTGGTGTTTTGATAGGGATTGCACTTAATCTGTACATTGATTCAGGTAGTAAAGCTGTCAGGATATGCTGATGGATTAGAACTGGGTTGGATGACAGGAGTCAAGATTCTAAGGAAGGAAGGATGGATTTACCATTTACTAAAACAAAGATGATTTGGGGAAACTGGAGTGGGAATGGGGGAAATATATGCTTTGTGGATAGATACTAGAAACAGGAACAAGTAGTTGGAAGAGGCAGGGAGACAGATCTTGGCATGGTGTTAAGACAGACAGTTCTGCAACAAATAGAGCCATCTCAAAAATAGATAGGGCTTCCTTTGTTTATCACTAGAAGTAATCAGCGTTAAGATTCATGTATATCTGTTGTGATAACAGAAGGAACCATGGGAGTTGTATTTATAAGGACTCTTAAGATTTTATTCAGACTCATAAAGTATAAGTGTTTTCTTTCATTCATTAATATTAAATATAGAAACATAGGTAAAGCTAAATATTAGGTATCAAATATCTTTACTTTCCAGTATTTCTAAAAATTCAATTTAAAAACTTCAGGACTTAAATTCAAATCAGAAAATCTGCCTCCCACCCATTAAAATGAAAATATCGCAAAGGATTTTATTAATCTTATTCCAATGCTGAGGACACAGTAGGCACTCAATGTGAATGAACGAACAGGTTATATGAACAAGTCAAAGCTTATACTTAGTTTCATGATTTTTGATAGATATTGCCAAACTGCCCCTTAAAAATTAAGTACCAACTGGCATTCCATTCACCAAGAATATGACAGGACTATTTTCCCGCAACTTTGCCAATCCAGAGATTTACATTGTTTTTAATTGTTAATGATAGGTGATAAACAGCATTGTTTTATTTTCATTTTTTATAACTAA